ATATATATATATAGGGCCTCCCTAGCCAGATTGGTCGAGGGGAGAGGTCAGACTAAGACAGGTACCCTGGTCCTCCAGGTTGGGGGTTGGTTGCAAGGCTAACAACCTTGCACCATAAAAAGGAAGATGTTTTAAAACCTCAATCAAGGCCTCAGACAGACGGACATAACAGAGAACCGAATGGAAGAGGAGAATTGAGGAGGCCATGGACCGAATACGGACCGGAGAGCCATAGAAGAAGAATATATATATGTGAAAGATTATATTTTTGTATGAGTGACTTTATATTGCTGGTAGTATTACTTAGGCCTGTTGCAGATCAAAAGTACTTCTGTTTGATGGGAAAATTTGGTTGTTATTTGTTTGTAAACTACAAATATACACAAAAATGACTGTGTGAAGCATTGCTTATTGCTGCATGAATTTTTATTTCTGATTGCAGTTTTATCTTGTGTTTAAAATTTTAGGTCCATCTAAACGGCCAGTAACAGCTCGTCTAGTGGAAGAGAAAAATGGAGAGTTTCGAATAGAATTTATGCCATCAGAAGTTGGTAGCCATTTAGTGGAGGTGTCAGTTGCTGGCCAGAAGCTTCCAGCTGGTCCATTGGTAGCCAAAGTATACAACAGTGCTCTCATTCGAGTGACAGATGTTGGAGGTGGAGTGGTAGGGCAGCCATGCCAGTTTAGAGGTATTAGGACATGAACAATGCTAATTTGTAAGATGTGTAAGAATAATGCTATCTTAATTACTTTACTATATTGGAATGTTATAATTTTCTACTTCTGAGCATATTCGTATGAACCTGATTTTGTAAATGAACATGTGTATACTCTGGATATCCTGCTTAATGCTTATAATTATGCTACTTCTCTTTATGAACCACAGGAATTTCAAGGGTAAGGAAAGTAACTGACCACAGTTTGCACAGTTGCTTGTAGTTGTCCTTGATGCCTTTTTATTTATTTTTAAAAATATTATTCATTCTCTGGTAGGGCGAGGTGAACTGTCATTGGAAAAGAAGGGAATTACTGTGTTTAGGAACCTTTATTTAGTAATAAAATGTCTTCTTTATTTTGAAATAATCCTTACACACCTGTATAACCAGGCAAGATAATTTACATTTACATTAATTATGCAAGGTTAAAGAAATGTAAGTTTGAAATATGTAGTTCAACAAAAAATAAATTACTTAACAGTTACTGTGTGATAAAGTAACTGTGAATAATAATTATCAAGAATCAAGTAAACACACTGGGATGCTACACTGCAGAAATTGGAAAATCTGTAAAATTGTGTCTAGTGGATGACTGAGAAGGTAACTTCTTATTAACATATACTTTGTGCATAATTTATTTTGGACATTCATGTGAGGTAATGGGAGTTTGGAGAAATATTTTCCTTTGTGTTGGAAAGGATTTGTTGCAAAAATGAATTTAATGTATATGTGAAATGATAGGGTCCAAGGATGTTTGTTACAATATATTTATTTACATTCCTTAGATCCTTCATAAATACCAAGCCAAAAATGTAGAACATACAATATAAATAAAAGTAAAGTAAAGCTGTCCCACTATATGCCATGTAGATGCTTGGTGGGGGAGTAGTCAGCGACATGCCCAGCCACGCTTTACCCCTGGGAAAGAACCCTGGGCCTCAGAGCTGGTCTGGACACACAGGCTAGAAGAAAAATCTTCTGTCCCCATCGGAGATCGAACCGTGGTTGTCCAATCACTATACTGACTGAGCTACCTTAGCTCATATCATAATATGGGTACAATACCTAACACTATAAGGCCCAGTGGTAACTGTATATACCACCTGCTTTAACAATCAATAACTTTGCATTTTGCCCACTGTGTACATTTGCTGGTTTTGTTTGATTCTTACGGTAAACAGCAACTTGATTTTCCTGGCATAGTTGTCTTAGACACGTGGCATTTTCAAGAATTTGTGGTGCAAGCTCTTTTTCTGTAACACAAAATTGTTCGTTTCTAACCACTTTTCTTTCAGCTTAAAAAATTTACTGTATGAAAAATAATTCTGTGGTTTATATGTGTGTTGTAGTGTTGAAACTTGTTCTATAAATTAGTATGTTTTGTCATGTGTTATTCTGAGTTGATTTTTGATTTGCTTTCAGTTGATGCAAGTCAGGCAGGGGAAGGGCAACTTGAGATCTCAATAAATGAAGGAGAGGTGCCAAATCATGTTCAGGTTGTTGGAGGTGGTAGATGTTTGGTCAGCTTTACACCTGAACAGACTAAACCTCATCTCATTGACATAAAGTTCAATGGAGAAACTGTTACAGGTTAGTTATCTGAATTTCATGAGAAAATTTAAACTGCCTTGACTCTGAAATCATACAGTTGCATAAAAACAGTAAGCAATGTAATGTTCTCATTGTGATGAAAATGTATATTGTGACCTTTTGGGTTGTGACTTCATGTAGTTGTGTTGGTGATTACCATTGTTCTGGAGGATTGTATTGCCTTGGTATTAAGGGTACAAGTGGAGGTTTCAGAGAAGTGTGTCTCGTCCATTTCCACTTATACCATGAAGGTGGGGATGATATATTCCTCCAAAACATTGGTAACCACCTGAAAGACTACATAGCGTCAACAGAAGAGCCTTAGCCATCAATGCAGCAACTTGACCTTTCATATGGATGCACCATACAGAAGGTAATATTCAAAGTTGAGCAGTGCATTTTTGTGTTTGTTTCAGATTGTCCGTTTGTGTGTTCTGTTTCTGACACAAGTCGAGTGTCTCTGACATTGAGGAATCTGGAGCTAATCCCTGTAAATGAAATTGCTCGCTTTCATATGGGAGTTGATGGAAATGGCAGTGCTGAACTTGCTGTCTCTGTTAGGGGTAAAGTTTCTGTAACTGCTCTTACTTCTATCATGTCAGAATTAAACTTAAGTAGCTCTGTAGTGGGAAGATTGTATGTGTGGGGGGGGGGGGCTTATGTTTCAGTTAACATAGTTTAAATGCACTTTTCTAATATTTTAAGCAGGTCACATATAAAATGTAATGTAAATCACATTTTTATTATAATGTATCAGTAGATGAACAGTGTGTTTTCAAAATTATATGAAATTCCTTCTTGGCTACAAAGGACTTGTTTATATATAACAGAATAATGCACAAGATCTGTCCTTAATTTTTTTATATTTATATTTTTTATTGTAATTCATCATTAATCATTCAGTGTTACTACATTCTTAGTACAGTAGTAGGCATAGTAAAGGAACAGTTGCTAACATTAAAATACATCACTAGATAGAGATACAGCCTCAAGTATATCATTAAATACTATAAAGTTATATTATTTAATTTCTGTCAGGCCCTACCACAGAACTTCCAGTTAAGGTGACAGGCAACATTCACAGTGGGTTCACAGCTGAGTTTACACCACGGGATGTTGGAGCACACTCCATTACAGTCGAGTATAATGGTCATCCTGTCAGTGGCACACCATTTATAGCTAAAGCATATGATGCTAAGAGAGTGTTTGTAGGGCCTCTGCCAAAGGGGTCAGTTGGAAAAACTCTGCAGTTCATGGGTGAGAATTAGTGTTTGTCATTATAATGTATATTATTTAAAATTGTGTTAATCTGTTTAAAAATTTAAGAGAGTTCAGATTTGTTACATTTAAAGAGGAAGAGACATTCACAATACATAGATTGTTTTATGTAGGTGAATTTACTAGTTGTTACATAATGCTATAGCATGTTGTACAAAAATGTAAGTGTAATGTACGTTTTCTTTCAGTTGATGCAAGCCAGGCTGGTGAAGGCAACTTAGAAATTACTATTAGTGCTCGAGGACATAATATACCTACCCAAGTACATCCACAGGGAAATGCCCGCTTTGCTGTTAGTTTTGTTCCTATCGAGCCTACTGATCATGTCATTAGCATAAACTTCAACAAGGAAAGTGTGCCAGGTAAGGATTTATAATGTGTATGCCATTAACAGCAAACTTTAGTATGCCTAAACATGTGTTTGCTGAAGGCTCATTCTAATGAAAATTAGTGAAAATCAGTATAAAGTAATGTCACTTACATGCAACATTCATAACCAATATTTGGCCACAAACTCCATGGAACATGGTCCTTCTTAAGAAGCAGTCACTTAGCTGGTGAAGAAATGTACTGCCTTTTATGGATCCAAAGGAGTTCACAAGACCTTATCATTAGATCCTGTTGTTTGCTGGTTGAATACAGTCTACACCCTCACACCCTTCTTCTTTTACTTGTTCACTCCAAGTTACTCTGCTGCTGGTTTACCTCTCAGCCCAGCCATTTTTAGGAGTACATTGATGGTTTGCAATATTTTGTGGTAAAGAAATTCATGTCATTTGATCTACATTGTTCAAGAAATTTTGCATTTACTCTTTACTGAGGTCTGTATGAATGTGGAATGGAAACAGGAGAGACAAGTTACAGGGTTCTGCAAAATACTGAATGGTTTCTAAACCAAAATGATTTGATACCTTCAAATTCAGTCGCTGCGAAAGTTTCACTTTATACATCGATTTGATACCTCTTGTTTTGACACATTTAGTATTAAATGGATATATATATCAGTGTATTCAATCTGTGATGCAGGTTCCCCATTCTTGGCTCGTGTCCAAGGGGATTCACCACATCAAATCCTAGTGAGTGGGCCATCATTGTCATCAGCAGCAGTTGGCAAAACATCCTTCTTCACTGTCAGTAATGTGGCAGGAAGTGTTGAAGACATAGAAGTTAATGTGGAAGGTAAGTTGTGAATTTTTTTGAACTGAGACTGGTGACTAGTTTTTCCAATCAGATACACATCAGTAGTACATTTTTCCTATAGTTTGCCTAAGTTTTCAAATAATATATTTGTGTGTGTTGTCTTTGTTTCATTTTTAAAACATTTCAAACACTGGTCCCTTCCAGCAGAATTGGTGTGTTTTTTATATTTGTCTTCTGTCTGAATATGTAATTCCCTCTTGCTATAAGAATAATTCTAAGGTAGTGTTCATGCTGTATGTTCTGAGGTAGAAAGTGCATACTTAACTCTTCATTGGCCAGTACTTATATGATTGGCTTTTGAACACCACTCAGTGAAGGATCCCAGATTGTTCCTCAGTCATTGACTAATAGAAGTGCCTCATATTCTCACATTTCATGCAGAAGTCTATACCTTCATTGTCGCCCATATAAATTTTCTGTACTGCAGTGAGTATAATGTATTGAATCTTCTATATGTATTCGTCGGCATTTTTTCACATTTATACCGTTCCCCGAATCAGTTCAACACTACACATTCACCTACCTTGGTATGTTTCTTGCACAATGCAATTTTTCTTCTTAATTCAGTAAAATACTAATGAATTTTCAGCGCACAGATATTTAAATTGCTGAGGTTTGTTTATTAGAAGACAGAGATGTGGATTGTAGGTTGAGAATGGTTTTAACTTGTCTCTGGTGATTTTAAATTGTAAATTATATAGGATATAGTTTATTTCTGAATATTGGTAATGTACCATGTTTCAGTGCTATAAGCAATATTGACCCTTTCTTATTATTCCACAGGAATTTTAAAATGCATTTTTTGTTAATTATATGTGAATCTGTTTATTTTATCTCAGAGGTAACTGATGGTGATATTAAAATTAATGTCACGTTTCTTGTAGACCTCATTTTTTGTGACCTAATGATAATGTTGTAAATAAATGCTCCAATATCACACCATTGTTTGTATGTATGTATGTGTGTTTTCACAGATAGAGAGTTTGTCCCTTCATCTGCAAGTATTTCTCTTTTGTCTGTGTCTACAAAATTAAAAATGAATAAACACTACTGTTTTTCTTCTATATTCTGTCTTGCATCTATGTCTTACAAGAGTACATGCATGGCCAATGAGTAGTGACATTGGGTTTAATGTATTAATTATCATTATATGCCATGTTTTTATATTTAGCTGTAATTTAGATGATTATCTTCAGCACATATTCTTTTATAAAGTTATTTTAATTTTATTGCACAGTGCATATATCATTTGAAATATGTTGTACCTTGAAATTTTAAATGTTGACATTAAATTGTGTAATTGATGTAATCCATTAAAAACTCAACAATTAATGTTATAACATTGAACATGATTCTTATTATATGAGAACACAGGTGTAATGTGTTCAATGGTAATTCACAAGTAATTATTTTGTGCCAACTGTTTTTATAATAAATTGTTTTTTGAAAATTTTGGTCATATATTAGAAATTGTAAATTACTGTGTTTTCAAGCACGTTACATTTTCTGCGATATAACTTTAATGTTTATTGATAAATTTTAAGAAAAGTTCAAGGTATGGTATATTTTAAATGAATATAGCCTAAGAAGGTTTGTGTTCTCTTGTTGCAGGTTCTACTCCTTACCGACTTAGACATTACTGACTGAAAATACTGACTTTATAAATGTTATGTTTTCCCCTTACACTTACAGAAACTTCTAAACAGATAGAAAGTTTCTTATATTTGTGTACATGATACAAGATAGTGCAAAAGCAAGTTGAAGTGATGGTTAGGTGTATGAAATGATTTTGCTGTAGGGATAACAATTTAAAGTTTCACTAAACTGTGTTTGTCTTAATGGAGAGAAAGGATTATTTTATTTAAAAGCTTGGTTTTGGTTGCTTATTAACATCTAACATAGAGAGCATTCCAGACTGTCTTCATAATATTTTACTGATTTTGATAAGTAGTTTGATATTAACAGGTTATTATATATATTTGTCTGGAATGCTTTGTGCTTCTTTGCAAGATCAGCACAAGTTGAATTCTTTCGAGTATTATCATGTAAATATATTGAAAATAATAAGGTCGGGAAGTACTGTTCTGACGGGACGCTGTAGTAGACGGACAGTATGTACAACAGTAACTAGCGATGATGACTGTAAATATGACAACTTTTAAACATCCTTTTTTATGGGTGATGGAGCTATTGCAAACTGCTTCCACCAACTATAAGGGTTCTATATGGTGTAAGTTTTTTGTTTTCTGCTGGTTTATTTCCTTATTTCATATTGGTATTAAAACTGCACTGTTCTCTTTTAAAATTTTACTAGCTTTAGGCATACTTTAATTACTGTATTGAATTATTTAATTCATTCCATTTTTCAGTGATGCATTGATATTCGTTTCATATCTGTAAGCATAATTTTTTTCATAAGTTTGAGAATAGTGCATAGCCTTTATCATTTACGTCTTCTGTCAGTATTGATAGCAAAGTTATAAACCCTTCCTATTGACATCCTTTCTTAGTCATAAGTAATAATTCTGAATTGGTAAGGGTTTTTCTTCTGTTTCCTGTATCTGTATGGTGACTTGAAAGTTTAAGTGCATTTGCAAGCTTGACATGATCTTCCTGTAGGTGCTAAATTGAGAGTGACTGAATGATGTTGATCACACATTTTCATTCCATTTTACACCCATATTCCTTATGTGCATATTAATATTTGCTTTTATTGTCATAATTGTTCATATTTTTTTATAAAGCAGCACATTCTGTAGTTACAGTGAAACCTCTATCCATCGTTCCCGGAACTATCGTTTTCCCGGATGCATCGTCCGTTTTGTTCGGTCCCGAATACATCCCATATAAAATAATGTTACATTTTCCCGCTTCTATCGTTCCTCGAACTATCGTTTTATCGCATCGATCGTTCAAAAATCTTAGTCCCGGCCCACAATTTTCCCGCAATGATCGTTCCTGAGAATTTAAAATGCTGGGTTTAGAGATAAATTAATACCGAAAGACGCACAATGTTTTTGGAATAAACAGTAGCGGTAACCTGTTATGTCGCCCAACCAGCACATTCTTTTGGAATGAGGGTCAGCGGTGCAGGGGTGATAGTTGGAGTGAATGGCGGTGCCCATTGTCAGAAATTTTACGATTTTAATTAGGGTGCACTCATATTTCGTTCCAGCGATGCCAGATGGCATGTGCAGTGTGAATTTCTTCACAAATGCTTTTATTACAAGTACAAAGGAAAGGCGAAAGTGCTGCTGTGGATGTGGAAATAACGGAGCTGTGGCTCGAGAGACTGCCAACACTGCTGGAGGGATATGAGCCGCGGGACATTTATAATGCGGATGAGACCGGACTTTTCTACAACGCCCTCCCGGATAGGACTCTGGCATTGAAAGGTGAATCTTGCCACGGGGGAATACGTGCAAAACACCGAATTACTGTTCTTCTGTGTGTTAACAGTGACGGTAGTGACAAACGGGTTCCGATTGTAGTTGGAAAATCAATTTCCATATTCATGCAGAAAATTTGGTGATAATCTATAACAATTCAAAATTAGTTTGACTAAAGGTTCCATTCTCTGTTCATACAGATGATATTCTCATAGCATCATGCTTATATTATTTTAGTTACTTTTAAATTGGAGATTAAATGGTTATTGTGAGAATTCTCTGCTATAAAAAAAAGTTATTATGAATTAATAATTATCCCTTTTCATATCATATACATCTACTTGGGCTAGTTCATAATAGGATAGTTTATTATGTCTTCAAAATGTGTGCCATTTGTAAACTTTTGATATGGAGTAAACAGAAAATTGCATTGTACATAGAACATGTTTGTGAATGCAATAATTTATTATTTGTGAAGTTGATCTTGTATTAATTCAGAACAAATCAGTGATCTGAAGACTGAATGTGATGTCATTTTGCATTCCTAGCATTGCATTTGAAATGGGTGAATATAAACAAAATTTGTTTTTGTTAGAAAGCAAACTGTTTCTGTTATTAGTTTTCACTTTTGATTGGTGAAAATGTATGATCAGAGAAAATAAATTGCAATAGTTTATGCTTGTGGGAATACTTATAGCATTTTAAATATTGTTACATCATTGGTATAGGAGATCACAACCATAAAACTTGCATTTTATGAAATTCAGTAATGAAATTATGAAGTTTGATGTTAATTAAACTGTGGTTTGAAGAATTTGACTAACAAGGAACAGTTCTCGTTAATGCTAGTGCTGGGAAGATGCAGCATTCATATATAATTTAGTAATGTTGGTGAGTAATACAAAAAAATTGTTTTTCCAAATTATGTGACGTCATGATGCTTTGAATGTGTTCTGTTGGTTTTGATGTAGCATTCTTCTTTGAACTAAATCATAGAACATAAGTGTAAAGATAACACAATTTGTAGATGACTGTCTTCTGGGTTGTTGCACCTTGTAGTCTAAGTTTACTGACGTTTCAGAGGTCCGTGCTGCCTCCATCAGGCCACTTATCACCCTGATGATGGAGGCAGTAAGGCCCTCTGAAACGTCAGTAAACTTCTACCAGACTACACTGTGCAACAACCTGGAAGACAGCAATCTTTGGACTCACCATTGTGAAAACCTCAAATCCTATATAACACAATTTTCATCCAAGCTTATGGATAACTGTAAATTACCATCAGTTTAGTGTAGTTGTGGGCTGAGTTGGGCTTTGTAAACTTGTGTGCTTGTATGTAATGGGATTAAAAGCTTCAAATCAGTTACACTTAAATACATATTTACATTTTTCTTGTCATTCAACTGAATCATACATTATTTTCAGGAAATAATTGTGATTCAGATCAATCTAATGTCTTTGTTTCAAAAGGAAATAGAAATTACTTACATTTCATTATTAAGATTTGAAGCAATATCGTATACAGGCATAGCTTTAAGGGTTAGATTTTATTGTTTTTAAGTAAGCTTAGCATGTTTATATCATTTACTGACTAATGCATTCTGAGAAGTTTGTGTTCAAAATTAGCATTAACAATTCAGACAAGCAGGCATTAATTTAGAATTGTTCCTATGTGCAGTTAATTTAAATGCCGTATAGAAATTAGATTACATGATATCAAGCACAGCATGATTTGTTTAATTTTATTACATTCTCCTGAATTAGATGTGGCAACCAATTACATAAACTGTTAGTTTTTGGAAACAGACTTCTCATTATGAGTAAACACATATTGGTGTTGATAAAGAGCAGTGCCAGCTTATACTAAAGAATTATGAATATCTTTTATGTATTTTTTCTCTGTGCCTTTAATGCAGGTTGCTGCATAAAATGAATTTATATTTTTGTCACATTTAAGCTGAAAATTAAAAATGTTGTTCAGAAATGACAGCATAAATAACTTTTTTAAAAACTGTAAGGTTTCCAGTAAGCTGTACACATATATGAAAAGGATATAAGATAACATGAGACCAGTGAAGTATGTAAAATGTCAGGCAATGCATTTGAAAAATATTGTTTCAATTCAGAGTTCAGCTTTCTAACATTTTTTTATGTTGAGGGCATGGAGGACAAAATCCGTGAAAGTAAAATATAGAAAATTTTACTTCTCCTACTAACAAGAAAATTTATGTTGTACTAAGACTTACAGGGGATATTCCCAAGTTACCAAAATTATAAAAAGACACTGCCTCTGCTACTGTAAAATGACCACTGCAGCAGCAACTACTGCCACTGTTACCCTCTGTTACGATTGACACTCACAGGCCCAAATGGACAATCAGTTCCTGCCCAAGTTAAAGATACAGGCTCACAAACATTCCAAGTTGAGTTTTCACCTCGGGTAGCTGGTGAACATCGCATTGCAGTGGCTTACCGTAAGGTTGCCATAGCTGGGTCACCCTTCTCCTGTAAGGTGTATGATGTCAAAGCAATCAAAGTCAAAGATGTTGCTGAAGGCATTGTGGCCAAGCCAATTACATTCCTTGGTGAGTAGAAATGAACCATTTCTGGGCATGGTATTAAGTTTTCTGTAGCTTTGTTAGAATGTCTTCATGATATCAACAAAGGTGGCCACACTTTATATTTTATTATTGCCTCATAGAAATGTGATTTATTCATTAGAAGAATTACTGTTTAATGCCATTCAGGCTAAATCTATATTCAGAAATAAAGGCATCTACATAAATTGTAAATGCTTACTCTATAATCATTTGGAACTGTAAGTTTACTTCCATATACCTTGAAACTTTAACTTATTTGCAGTATCAGTTAAGATATTTTATTGGTACTGCCCTTTTTAATTTATGTTGATATTGAAGTTTTTACATTTAAAAAATTGATTTTTGAATTATGGCCAATAAAGAAAGAAATTGTCACAGTTCACATGAACATGAACATGCAGGCATGTTTGCTTATGTGTGTAACCTGTATAAACATTTTTTTTTTGTAAAATTATTTTAGTTTTGAACAGAAACATTGCAGTATCTGCTGTTAATAATTGTATTAATCATTCACATATGGTGGCAACATTTTAGGAAGAGGAAGAATTAATTTAGCTTTTATGCTGTTTATTTCCTACAGTTGAAACAAGTCAAGCAGGTCCAGGTAATCTAGAGGTGACTGTAAATGGTGGACGAGTCCCTACTTCAGCTCAGGCTCAGGGTCCACACACATATGCTATCTCATTCACCCCAAGGGAAGCCATTGCACATACTGTAGATCTGCGCTTTAATGGTGAAGATGTTCCAGGTAAAGTGTTTAGTATATCATAAACTAATCTTTATGTCTGAGGATAATTGGAGAAAATTGAAAAGTAAGGAGCTCCATAATTTGTACTCTTTACCAGATACTGTTAGGATAATCAAATGTAGGAGGATGAGATGGGCAGGGCATGTAGCACATGTAAGGGAATGAGAACTAACAGGTCCATATAATCATCGCTCTGTTGATGGAGATAGCAAGGACTCGTAAACATTGGTGAACTTCTTCCAGACTACATGGTGCTACAACCCAGAAGATATCCATCTTAGTATGAGAGTAGATTAGTGTAAAAAATAAATGCTAAGTGTCTTAATTGTTCATCCCTTTAGCTGCCCATTATATTTTCACTGCTTTCATAAAGAAAGTTATTTTAAGGTAAAAATCTGAGCTGATTATGAGTGTTGCCTAACAAAACTTTTATACATCACTCAGTGTTTCTCGTACAGTGTTTTCATTTCTTTAGGTAATAACTAACAACATATTCTCTTCTGATGTAGGAAGTCCTTTCACATGCCAAGTGTCGGAGGCGGCTCGGGTTGTGATCTCAGGTGATGGGCTGGAGAAAGTTGCGGTTAACAGGGCAGCGATGTTCTCTGTGGAAGCAGATCCTTCCCTTGGTCGACCAGATGTTCAAGTTCTGAGTCCATCTCGGCGACCACTGATGGTAGATGTGGGTGTCCAGACAGCGGGCAGATACACAGTGCATTTCACACCTACAGATGTCGGTGAGTGAATGTATGTTTATCTTAGGTTTTTGACGTAAATACGTCTATAAGGAAGGGTCATTCGGCAAAAACGTGTAACGAAAAAGTGCAACAAGTGTACCTAGGGAACGTCGTGTTTACTCGGCATTGTGGTTACCTAGGAAACGTTACATTACATTAAAATACATTACTTTACATTACATTCAGCTAACACAGACCCATCTTAAGCGTAACTAATTCAAGTTGAATAAGCAATGTCTTAATCAAACTTTACGCAATTGTAAAGCATGTATAAAGGAAATATTAGAATAAAGCCAATATATAAACTTCCTTTCCGTATAGACGTATTTACATCAAATTCTCCGGAACCGTGGTTCCACTGACAACTTTTTCCTCCACTGAGCTTCGTGCATTCTTCCTTTGCATGTACTAGGTCTTGACAGCTCATCAGGTGACTGGATAGTGTCTCACACTTGATTGCAGCCTATAATCTCAAAACTGTGGAATTTGAAAGTGGAACTGTACTGAAAAACTTCAGGTGGTTATCACCAAATACACATGAAACAGTGTCTTCTGCACATGATTAATAATATATTTGGCAATTGTGTGGGCCTCACCATGGCAAGAAATTTGTAGTATGCTTTGCACACATTTCTATTTTCACTTTTAATTACAGATGTCAGGTTACTTTCAGAATGCTTCAGTTCACCACATTTACACTTAAGAAATGTGAGAAGTTTGTCCTTGCAGTGAATGTGCTGTGTGTATGAATGTTTTGTAATTTTACTGAACAATGGAACTTTACTAAAGTTTAGTAAAATAATGCAGTGCATGCCGAGCATGTGCATTGGAATTGCTATTACACAGAAATCTGAATTACAGATAGCTGTCATATTTATGATTATTTCATAATTCATATTTGATGCCTGAAGTACTTAAACATTATCATGTTAACATGAAATTGATCTTGTTGCATTTTCTTTTACCTTAAAATTTCCAGTTTTGAGCCAATAATTCATTGTGAGTTAAGGTACTGTAATTATTTACATTGTTCTCATCTTTAAACTGCTCTTAACCTACCATGCTCATTACAAAAGTATCATCAACTGACCAGTCAATTTGCATACATTGTTGCACTTAGACTGCTGTCTACAATGTCTGGCTGTGGACTGATAATTTTGTGTCTATAAATAGTATAGTATAATTAAGAAGAGTAAAAGCTGTAATATAATGTTGACTAAATCAATATGAAAGCAGGGGCATTGCAAAAATTACTTGGTCTTCCATTAAACATTTTTTCTCATTGAACCCTGGAATGCCACAAATCTTCAAGAACACTGATCTCCCCAAAAGTAATTGGGATTGTGTTTTATATGTCTGTTTATTGTATGTATATTAAATTGTACAGGTGACAGAAGTTGTCTGCAGTGTGTAAGGAGTGAGTTTAGTTGTTCATTACTCCACAATAAACATTTGTACATTTTCAGGTGATCACAGTGTGGAAGTGAAACTGGCTGGTGTTCATGTTGAAGGCAGTCCATTCCTTGTTAAGGCATATGATGCTGCTAAAGTGAAGGTCACAGACATTAATTCTGGAGTTGTTGGAAAACCAGTTTTCTTTAGCAGTATGTATAAAATATATATTTATATATACACAGAGATTTATAGGAGATATTCTTTTGGTTGTACATCCATGTTATTAAATTATGCAAGCCACTTTGTGGAATCCTTTTAATTTCATCATTAATATATCCAACCTAGTAAGTGTACAAACTCAGAACATGAGAGGTGCGTTAGGACCATTGAATGTAACCTGAAGATGTCTTCATAATCTCTTCAAACATGCAACTTTCTGTTGACTGATAAACCACAGATGTATTGGAAGTTTATAATTATGATTTTGTGCAGCAGATATTCTTGTGTATCGCATAATACTGCTAGACATTATTAACTAAATAAACAGAAATGGCATCTAATAAGTTACCTCATGCCTGCTTTTTTATTCTTAATAAATATAATTGTTTATGCATAAACGTCTTTAAAAATGTTTATGTTTTACTTGAAAGCCTTATACCACTACTAGCTGTACAACTTCAATAAAAGGCAGGCTCTTCTAGAGTTACAGTGGATGGCACAAGTGCTGCTTTCTCACAGTAACACAGACAACACACATCATATAAATTGCATGTATAGTGTAAATAAAGACTAGACAAATGACTGAATGGTGGGTATGATATCCTTCATCATTATATCAAGACTGGCTCTGGGGCTTACCCAACATCTTGTCCAGTAGTTACTGGGGGTAAAGCTGCTAGGGTGGGAAGCAAACCATTCACCTTTATCTGGTGCTGAAGTTAAGAATGAATGGATCTATACAACCACTTCCCCATACCTTGTAGTATAATTGATTTTCATGCAAATGTGGTAAATGTTTTTCCTTGCAATATCAGTGACCGAAGGTAAGGAATTATAAGCAGAATCTTCATATGTGGGTAGTTCTTGAAGCTGAAACATTTTCTAGCCTGTTGATTGGTTAATGTTAGTATTGTATGTCATTTTTTTCTTTTTCTTATAGTCAATGCCAGTCAGGCAGGTGCAGGGAACTTGGAGATCATTGTATCAGTCAGTGGTCATAATGTACCAAATTATGTGCAGTCCGAAGGAAACGCGAAGTTCCGGGTGAATTTCAAGCCCCAAGAAGCAGCACCACATAGTTTAAGTGTTCGCTTTAATGGAGAGCCTGTTCCAGGTTTGTCACATTTAACATTTCCTTAATCCTGTAACTGCCAAGTTATTACCCTGTGAGATTAAATTATGTTAATTAAATTTTCTGCTGTATTTATCTTATAAATCTGTTTTATTGTACCTGAAGTTTATTCGATGGTTTTCATAATGAATGTGATCATTTCATATGTATATATTAACACACAAACTTTGTATGTCACTAATTTATAACATGCATGCAGAGTAGTATGTAATGTTAAAAGTATTTGGTTTTATTGGTTACTCATGCTGTTGTTCATTGATGACTTACAGTACATGCACTGCATATCATTAGCCTGTATGATCTTTTTAGTGATGTTTTGAAGAGTTGGGAAACATATAATACAAAGAATTGTTTCTCCACACACACATACACAAAGGATTTATCCTATAAAATTTAATTTATAATATATGTTTCATTTACAAAACTTTGCATGCTTTTTATGCGCCCTATCTCTGTGGAAATTTTACTATCACATTCATTTGTAGTTATGATTCTCTATTTTAATTTGCAATTGCAAATTTTGTCTACATGGACTTCAATGAGAAATGTGCAAATCTGTTAAATTTTCTGAACCTGAAAATATAATTGCAAGGTTTGTGGGTATTTTATAAATGCATTGACCTTTAGGTTCCATAAAAGACTGTCATTTCTCGACTATATGGGCAATTATTAGATTGCTGAGAAAGGCTTCATGCTGTGGAGTTGGTTAAATAGTTTATTCATGAAGATCTAATCAGCCTTTAAAACCTGTGTGTCCTGATGTACAGGGAACTGAAGATCTTTCTTCTTGAAGCTACACTGAATTTAGTGACTTATGGGTATGAAGAATGATTTTGTGTAATGTTTTCTTGTATACTCATGTCTTTTACAGGATCTCCATTCATGTGTAAGGTTCTTGATGCAAGTCAAGTGCTGGTATCTGGGTCAGCTTTGAAAATGTCACCTTTGGGACAAGCTGCAATTGTTATGGTGGATCCCCAAATGTCAGCCGGAGATTTGGGATCTTGTGATGTCACTGTAACTGCTCCATCTGGACAAACCATTCCAGTCAGGATAACTAAGACTGACAAGTTTACAGCAGAGTTCATGCCAATTGAAGTGGGTGAGTTGGGACTTGGAATTTACTGGTTGAATACTTATTAAATTGGTAACATGTTACAGAGTTCAATTAAATGCAGTAGAAATTACGCAAGAGAATATCCTGAAAGGTTTTCAGTAACAGTTATTCACCTTTTAGCCTGTTTCATAAAACAAAATGTGTTTTTTAAACATGAAGTATGAGCATTAAGAAAAGAAATGGTAGCACGTGAAAAAGGTCAAAACAGAATACATATTGACCCAATCACATTATTTTTTTAAGCTTAGTGCCACATTGTGATGCTCATCATTAGAAGGTAGAAGATGAACTTCAATATTTCAGATATTACAAGTGCCCATTAGAATAAGCATTTTTCAAAATTCTATTTCTTGTAATATTAAGGTGCACTATATTTTATATTGTTGGTGTGATGGGGTCCTGTCCTGTGTTTATTTAGGTCGACATAGTGTTGCTGTTATATTGGATGGTGAACCAGTTAAAGGCAGTCCATTTGCATGCAACATTTATGATGTCAGCAAAGTCAGAATCACAGGACTTGGGCCTTCTAAGGTATGTCTTGTTCATTTGTGATGTATTTAATGATGCTTTTAGTAGCTCAGAAGTTTAGAATATATGTTAATGTATTTTAGGTTGGCAAACCTGCAACCTTCACAGTTGATGCTTCGGAAGCAGGTGAAGGCACACTGGAGTTAGTAGTTAGCACAGACAAGTCAACAGTCAAAGCAGAAGTAGTTGCATGTTCCAGAGGTCTTTATGATGTTACCTTTGTTCCTCATGAACCAGTGCCTCATTTTGTGAACATTTCATTCAATGAAGAAGATGTTCCAGGTGCGTATAAGCTATACTTTGATTTTACAAAAGCTTTAGACACATGTAAAAATGAGCTGTAGTTAAAAATGAATTGTCTAGAATTGAGGGGAGAAGTGGTAAAAAATTTTTAATGCAATTAAAAATTAGTTGGAAGGATAACATTAAAACACAACTGAAAGAAACAGGGTGTGATTGTGTGGATTATATTCATGTGGCTCAAAATATGTTCCATTGGCAGGCTGTTATGAACATGGCAGTGAACTTTTGGGTTCCATAAAACAGAGAATGTTTTTACCTGTCATAATGATTATTCGCTTCATATACTGCAAAATAGAAAGTGACAGTTGTCATAATGCAGAATGGGTCTTGTGTTTTATATACTTCAAGTTCTTTTATTAAATTTTATTTATTAAATTCTGTATAATAAGGTTTAACTAGAAACTGTAGAAGTGGTGGCCAATCTCTGCTTGTAAACTGAACCAATCAATAAATCTTCTCGGGCAATCAGCTGCAATAACTGGTTATAGTAAACCGACGTTTCAGGAACCACCTCTGTCCCCATCATCAGGGTTCTGATGCAACTGGATACCTCGGAAGTTACCTGATCCGGCTGCATCCTGACAACTTTAATAGGGATGGAGGTTTCACCTTGAGCCGAGCATGGTATCCGGTGACGAACATGCTCAGGAATTTTGGGGAAACACCAGGTAGAAAGCAGAGCCAGACAAACCGAGCGCTTGACTCCGCCCCCTAGCTCCTTGGGCCTGGGTCCGGACATGTGCACTGGTCCCGAGCAGGTAGTTACACAGGCGACTTCCGAGGTATCCAGTCGCATCAGAACATGATGAGGACAGAGTTGGTTGGCTGATTGCCCGAGAAGATTTTATTGATTGTACTCGCCGCGAAAGTCTCAAATCCTATATCGTTGATTGTGAAGTTCCACGGAAGAAACATACATTTATGCAATTTGAAGTTACTTATTTTGTCTATTAGTGTAGTTGAGGCCAGTTTAAAAATGTTAAAAATATATTTGTTATATAGAGATTCATTTCAATAAGCATTTATTATTTTTGGACTGTAATTACTTTGTTAATGTTTTACTGTAATTCCATTCTAGGTAGTCCATTTAAGTGTGAAGTGCTAGAATTGGGTGCAAAGGAAATGCGACATATGCATCGTAAAGAGTCTCGAATGATTACAGTTCGTGGGGAAGGTTTGAAAGATGCAGTTGTAGGTTCCACAACTTATTTTGATGTGGATCCCAAGGGCATGGATGGTCACATAGACATGGAAGTTGTGGGTGAGTAGAAAATTGCAGCTAAATTTGTATAATTTCACAGAATATCTTTAGTATTAAAAGTTTTATTCTGCATTGCTGAATTTGTGTTAAGTGTTATATAATTTATGTTTGCTTCAATAAAAATGTATTTTTTGTGTTATAAAATTCCATTTCACCTCAGTTGTTTATATATATTCTTCATACACATTGTTTTGAGAGTTAGTTCTCCCATCCTGAGGTGATTGGTTATTATTATATTGGCACATGTTTTTATTTATACTGTACTATTTGTGCCAGCAATAAGAATTCAAACTGGTAGCCTTTGAATACTTATATGACTATATTCAGTCCCATGCCATTAATTTGAATGAGACAGTTCTGCCACCTCAGGACAATATTAGTGAAACAGTTTTTGCATATGCATAACACATTCTGAGACTAAAGAACTTTTAAACAACTGTAATAAAGAATTAAAATTATTATATGCATTGCAGATTTTATATATATATATATGTAAAATTACACTGTAATGTTAATAAATTAAAACACATATTAATTGTGCAGGTCCCGATAGTTCCCATGTACCATGCTATGTAAAGAAACTAGGCTCGGGTCTGTATCGAGCAGAGTACAGACCTCAACAAGTTGGTCTTCACAGCATTACAGTGTTTCATCAGGAACAGCCAATCAGCAAGCAACCTTTCACTGTAGAAGTATTTGATCCACGGCAAGTCAAAATCATTGAAATGGAAGAAGCATTTTGTCATCGCGCTGCAAGTTTCAAAGGTCTGTTGTATTGAATTGTGTTGTAAGTTAAACAGTGTTGAGTTAATGTTGGCAGATGGCACAAAGAAAAGTATGGAAGCATGTTATTTATCATGACAAATTAATTAATAAATTAATGAACATTGTCTACATTTTCATAAGTTCTGAAAAGTCACAAGCATTTTGAAGCACTTTATACTAGTAAGATATAATTGAAGATATTTTTTCATTGAATCGACTATGATTGTTAGTTTCAGCTTATTCACTGCATTTTAATAAATAGTAATTTGAGACATACCGGTCACACATTCTGCACTCATCAGATACTATAGAAAAATTGGTGTAAAATGGTCTATATCAGTTGGTTGTAGAGTTCAAAGCAATTCAGTACAGTGATATACTTTAGGATCCCGCTTTAAGACTATTTCAGTAATTTGGTTTTATGAGAACATATTAAAATGGATATTTTAATTTTATAAATTCTTGCTGTAGTTGAGGTTTCAGCCTAGTTTAATGTAGAATTAGAGCAATGGGGTCTGTACCACAAATGTATTCATAATCAGAGGACATTCTCCCTGCAGTGGATACATCAGGAGCAGGACAAGGAGTGCTAATAGCAAGTGTGAAAGCTGCTGGACAGGAAGTGAAACATTCTCTACATGCATTGGATGCAGGGCAGTACCAAGTGGTCTTCCATCCTAAGCTTGCTGTTCCACATAGAATTGACCTCAAGTATAATGGCTTGCATACAGCAGGTAATAATAATACTTTTATATTGACTATGATTTGTTTTAGTCTGACACAGGTACTATCAGCTTTGAGTGCTGCTATAGTGAACATGCATTATTATATCCTCTTTAATGTTATATATATAGACTATCTGTGAAGTCTTAAGCAAATAAAACATTGTGTGAGGAACTAATTGTGCTTATTTCCTTTAAATGTGGCAGGGAGACATTCAGAAATTATAAATTAATATTTACTAAGTAATTATTATCATGAAAATACCCGTTATTTATTTAAAGTGCTGTTTGTCTTCAGTTGCAATAGCCATATCCATATCCATATCCATATGGATGTCAAGACTGTCGCTGGGGGCCCACCAAATTTGTTATACAGTGGGTACTGGGGACTCTAGTGGTAATGCAATTGGAGTGTAAAGGTGATCACTCACCTCCATTTAGTGCTGAGGTTAAGGAATGAAGTTTTGCCTCTACTCCCCATGTTGACATTAATGGAACTCAGTAAGTTCAGTGAAAGAATTTTGACCAGTGGACCAATGTACTTGTATTATTAGATGAACTCTTGTATTAATATGCATTAGTGAAATAATATAAAGGAATTTGCTTACCAGGTTGTCCATTTGAAGTGTCTGTGAAGAATCCAGCAGTTGGACAAGATGTCATAGCAACAGGGCTTGGTCTATATCAGTCACGTGCAGGGAAAGTGACAAGTTTTGTCATTGAGACACTGGGTCATCCAACAAAGGAGTTTGACGTCATAATTACGGGTCCTCAGGGCTCTGCTGTGCCAGTGAGGTGCTATCAACAGAAAGATGGAAATTTGTTGGCTGAATTCACAGCTCATGGTGCAGGTGCTGTTCTTTATTGCAAGATTATATAACATGTATCTCATTATTCAGGCAACAGAGTAATGTTTTTGGTTGGATGAAATATTAATAAACTTATTTCAATTCAAATTTGACACTCATTGGAGATGGTTTCCTTCAGTCCTAGAGATGTCCTTATTTTGTCAAACTGATTTACCTGCTTGGTCATTATGGTTTAAAGCATAATTTTATACTTGGATTTGAATAATAATTCTTAAATTTAATTTCATCAGAGTTTGTATGTAGGTGTGGTATTATATGAGTGTTTGTTTGGAATCCCCAAGTTTTGAATTTCATATAAACTGGCAATTCAGTCTAACATTTTAGCAGAATTTAATTTTATCAGTAATGATTTTAGGGCAGCCAGCATGAACTTAAACTTTAAACTGAACTGTTTGCTATTTAAAAGTAGTTTAGTAATGTGTGTGTTGTGTTACAAGGGCTCACAGTTTGTTCAATTTATTTAGGGACTTACAAGATTGATGTGACACAAGGATCTAGGGCTGTCCGTGGTTCTCCATATTACTGCCAAGTCTTTGATGCATCCAAGGTGAAGATAGAAGATGTGGGGTCTAAATCAGTTGCTGTCAATGAGAAGATTGCTTTTCGACGTAAGTACCTGAATGTGCTATTCATTGCAGTGGAACCCTGTATTTACACTTTTCTTTGAAATGGTAAAAAGTAGTGTAAATTTCAGGAAAGTGTAAATTACAGGAAATTTAAATATCATAATAGCAGTACTTTATCTTCACCTTAAGTCTTATTGCTCAACAAATAATATAGGTAAATTATTAATCAGTGAATGAACAGTTTTACAACATACCATTTTGAGAAGCTAAAAATATATACTGTCATTGATGAAGGAGAACATTTTGTTTCAGTTCAGCGCAGAGAAGCTGGGTTTGCTGAGTTGGATGTGACAGTTACCAGCCCATTGGGCCAAGACTTACCACTTGAAGTTAAGAGTTGCGGAAATGAGAAGGATTGTGACTTAATTGAATTTTGTCCAAGTTTACCTGGAATTTACCGCTTCAAAATGACGTATGGAGGAGAAGAGATACCAGGTATATTATGAAACATATTTGCTTTAACTGACTCCATGGATCATATTTCTTCTTGAGAAGCTAATAATCACTCAGCTAGTCAGTTGTCACTCTACGTTCCTCTATTAAAATTATGAAGTAATTTAAATATATGATTAATAGGGCTGCATTTATTTATCCATGTAGGTTCACCTGTAACATTTACAGTTGAAGATTCAGGAGTTGCAAAAGCAAGTGGTGATGGATTATTGTGTGGCCAAGTGGGGAGTCCTGCTAGTTTCAAAGTTGTGGGACCCGGTCTACCAGGCAAGCCTAGTATTCATGTTGATGGTCCAGACAGTGTAGCAACCTGTAGCATAGAAAGGGAGGCAGATGGAATATATGTCGTCACCTACACTCCTTCGGAAGTTGGGGTTTATGATGTCAGGGTGGACTGGGATGACAGTCCTGTACCAGGTATGCACAGTTATTGAAGATTCTTTCATTGTATGTTTGAAGAATTTAAATTCAAGTAATTTATTTTTATTAAATAATTTTAAATCTGTTTCAGGATCTCCATTCCATCCAAAGATAGTAGACACTCTTAAAGTACGGGTTATAGGAGGTTGGGAATCATTCACAGATTCAGAAGGTCGATTAGAGCTGGCAGTTCATAATACCAAGAAGATCAGCTTTGACACTGCAGAAGCTGGTCCAGGTAAATTGTTAACAGTAATGGCTAGAATGTATTGCAGTTTTACATATTACTACTTCCTGTTCAGGAGATTATTCTGGCATATGATATACTTTGTACATCACTTAAGTATTTCGTGAATTAAGTACCGTAAATCTGATATTCTAATTTACTGTATTTATTGGTTTATGAGCTGCATATATGTGTGAGTTGCATCAAAATTTGTTAATTAATTTTCCCGAAAATACCAGTCAGATGAAAAAAATCGACCTCAAAAGATGTTGGTTGTAGCAGTTTTTAAGAGTCGGGGTAGCTCAGTATAGTGACTGACTATGGACTGGACAACTAGGGTTTGATCCCCAATGAGAGCAGAGGATGTTTCCTCTAGCCTTTGCTTCCAGACCAGCTCTGGGACCCACCCAGCCTCGTGTCCAGTGGGTACCGGGGTCCTTTCCCAGGGGTAAAATGTGGCCAGGGTGTGATGCTAACCACTCACCCCACCTAGTGGTGAGGTTAAGAATGAGTAGGAGCTATATCTCCTTTCCCCCCAAGCAACTACATGGTGAATAGCAGAATAGCTTTACTTTACTGTAGCAGTTTTCTGACAACCAGTCACAACGTGCATTCTTTGACACATTGCCTCACTTCTCATAAAAATGCAGTTTTGAACGGTTGTGCAATATCTGCAGGTGGAAACTGTTAAAATGAGAAGATAAAAAACCAAAAAAGGGACAGAGTGTGCCATACTTCTGTTCTCTTCTATTTGGGAGACTATTATCAGCTTTATTTCATAATTTTATAAAGTAGCATAAAGAAAGAAAGAAAGTGAAAGTTTAAGTATGTCTAAAACATGAGATTAAAAATACACAAAGAAAGTAGTTGTGCTAAATGAAACCTATTTACTCATATGAGATTGTTTTTCTTCTCTGTTCTTTCTTTATGTAATGGTCATAAGAAGAGCATTTGAGGCAATTGGATGCACAGGCTCATTATCAAAATAGTTAATTCTTTTCAATTCTCTCCCTGCACTCAGGCCAGCTGACTGCAGAATGCCGTGGTCCTTCTGGAAACTCTGTGCCCATTGCTGTTGAGCAGACCTCAGGATCACGAGTGCGTCTGCTACTGACTCCACGTATCTCAGGAGAGCACCTAATATATCTTCAGTATGGTGGGTTCCCACTTCCTCGTTCTCCACTTCTGGGGATTGCTGATGGGGCCTCCGGAGGTTCCAGTGGCCCAGTACGAGTTGTACTGACTGGAAGAGGACTTGCAGGTGCAAGATGCCATGAGGAGGCAGAGTTTACCATTGATGGATCCCAAGCTGGGCCAGGTACAGTTCAAGAGAAATGGCAATGACCAAACTCTGATGTCCCCACTACACACACATGAAACAGCTAGGTCTTGATAACCTTGACCTAATATCTTCACACTACATATTTGAAGTGGTCGTAATGGGTGAGAAAATCGTTAGATTTGTACAAAATCAATGTTAATTTGTATTCATGTTATTTTCGAGAATTGTTGTCCATGTTTTCATTACTTACAGGTTTGATTTCAGTGAAATGATCAAGGTCCTGTATAGGTCACTGTCCTGTGAATTTCATTTCACTCACAGTTCTCTGCATTGTTTTTTTTATTTTTATATAGGGTTGCCAGAAGTAACTCTGACAGGCATGAAAGCAGACATCAAAGTTCAATTGCAAAACCTGGGTAATAGTGTATATCGAGCCATCTATACACCAACTGTACCAGGAGCTTATCTTTTGAATGTAATGTGGTCTGATAGGTGAGTGAATTGTAATGGAACAAAATAAATTAAAACTTTATTGTTCAGTCCATCAAAATGTTTCTTTACAGATGCAAGATGACTGGTTGATTTAAATGCCCTTTAAATCCCTAATACATAGAATTTGACTGTTTTGACATGTAATGCAACATTTTTAGTGGTTTTCCTTAGGGATATTATACTTGTAGTTAGTCAAATCAGTTTGTCAGAGGGAATTGGTTGTGATCACAGAAAAAAATAATTTCTACATAATACCATTTCTAGATGAAAGACCAAAGAATATCCAGTGTTGCTAGGGATTATTATGTTCGTTGAATAGTTCCTGTAAGGGCATTCTTTTAATATGAATGCTCACATCTTGACAAAGCCATATATTTTTCTAAAACTTCAAATGTATTGAAATCCCTGTATTATGTGAAGAAATTGTCTGTGAGTTTCTTTACACCATTATATTCACACTGTCTATCTGATGTATACACTCTCTTCCCACATTAAACACTCAAAATTCTCATTTTTATTTACACTTCTTTGATATAAGAACTGCTATGCAGTGAGCCACTAATCATTGAGTCAGATGTTTCTGTATGCATACACACACAAAAGTAGAATTGTTATGAATTTGGTTTATGTGTTGAACTTTTGCTATTCTTATAACAATAATCACCAGTGGTTAATTAGAATTCAGTTTGAAAAACTGTTGTTTTTTGATATTAACAAAATCTTTGGAAGAATGAATGCATCATCATTAAGTTGAAGATGTGCCACTACACATTATAATTCATCTTTTGACTTTTAGAACACAGTGATTTATGTACCACCTGTCTGTATATTCCATAAATCTGCTTTTTGCCCACAGTGTGTGTATATTCTTAGATAAAAATTTATTGTATTTCTTCATCTTTTACCAGTTGGTGTTTGTAATGCGGATACTTGGCATATATTTGATTTCAAATTGATACAGCCACATAAAAATGGAAAATTTATCTCCAGCAGAGTACTAACAAAAATTGTATGAATTGTTTCATTTCTCTTTTAAAAATATTGAAAAAATATGTATATACAAGGTACATTTTAATTTTATATGCCTTTATCTACCTCTTATTCCATTTTGACTTGTTCCATTGTAATGAAATATTTCAATATTGTGCACTGTATTTGCAGGCAGGTAAAGGGTTGTCCCCTCAAAGTTGCAGTAACAGCAGTAGCTGATGCAGGCAGAGTTGTTTGCTCTGGGGATGGACTACGTGTTGGGACTGTGGGCAAGGAAATACGAAGCTTTATTGATACAAGACGTGCTGGGCCAGGTACTTTAATTCATAGCTGGTAGTAACAACTATTTTATGGCATTTATCTGTCATTTGGAAAACATCCCTTACAATAAATAAAAAATACTAGTAAAACTGTTGGAATTAAATCCTATAGTATAAGATGAAATACTTAGATCATACACTGTATTTGTAATTCACATGTAGCCAAGAGGTGAGGAGACACTGTCTAAATAATTTTGCCATCACTTTATGAATTAAAACAATGTATGCAAGGGCTTTTTAAGGTGTGCAGTACATAAGCAAGTTAGGAGATGTATGTGTAGTGTTCACCTAAATATGATTTTTTTTGTAATTGTGAGTGACTGGAATATTCACCCAGTTACTTTGTTGCTCGGAAACCCATATAAATCCTCATGTAAAGTGCGCTTTATTGTTACCTGATTGTGACTGAAACTGGAATGTTTTGACAAATTGTAGTAGAACTCTCCAATATTAATCTATTTAGCTGTTCTTGATTTGTTATATGCACACAGATGAAGTTGTTTTAATGGGTATTCTGCGGATTTGGGAAGGGCTATTATTTTTTAACAGTTTGCATAGTCTGAAGTCCAACTTTTTTAGCCCCACATTACAGGATTGTGCACAAGTGAGTAAGAAATGGGGCCCAGAATGTATTTTAAACAAAGGCAGAGGGTGAAGTAGGAACTTGTCTCAAAAATAAAGAAACTACCATTAAAATAAGAATTCAGTGAAAGAATAGGATATCCTACTAATTATAAATATTTTCCAAGTTCATATCTGTTCCTATTTATGTCTTCCAGAAGAAATGTTGGACAAAATAGAAGTTGTGGATGTTATCTGTGTAAAAACCATGCATATATTTGTGAGAACATTTTTTAATCTTTTTAGGAGAGCTGACAGCCCATTGTGTGGGACCACACAAAGTGGCATACTGTGAACTGTATGATCATGGTGATGGCACTTTTACTCTGAATGTGAAGCCACAGGAAGCAGGACGGCATGCCCTTACGATCAAATATGGTGGTGAGTATAAGCCCCCTTCAGTTTTAAGTTTATGTGTAAATCCCTTAACTTGCTTCACACATACATTTTCATGAAAACATTGCTTCCTTTTTCATCAAGATGCATAAGCAGTTAAGATGCCTCGTGTTTTATTTATTTGAACATGCATAGGTAAATTATAAACAATTTTCTGAGTGTTATGTATGACCCTTTTTTAACTTGTTAAAATTATGGGTTAAAATAGTTACTTTTATCATGTAAACTGTCCCAAAATGCAGGCTAAACACCTGTAATCAAATGTGTTGGCCTCATTTTGGTTTTCAATTGATAAATATTAAGTTCATTACAGGGGTGTATCAACAATATGACTAATTTACAGGAGACTTATTTTGTTTGACAAATGTGCATCAGCATTACACACCCCATTATATTGTGTAGTTAGACCAAATGTCTCTGGTTATGTATGTTGCTATGCTCTTCTGGAATTATGTCCTTAATGTGGAAAAAGAAGTGCAGCCTGTTCTCAGGCCATTGTAGTAAATTTCTGTTTAAATATATATTTGTAACTGAATGATGTATAAGAACAGACATTGCAAGTTAAAAATCTAATGGGAACATTCTAGAGGCACTTAGGAGCTATTATGATCCAATTGGCTATGTTTTATTAAAATTAATGTATCATTACAAAACTCTTATTTACACTTAAAATTATTCATTGTCAGGACTTTTCCATCATATGTTCTTTAAAATCACAACGATTCGGACGCTGGTTCTGTCTCCGTCTTCAAGTGAGAAGTACCTACTCTGTTGGGTCCCTTAGATAGAGCTAGTCTCTGTCACTGGAATAGAATCTTATTATTTATGTTCACCATTATTCTGGTAAGGGTTTCCTTTACATTGGTTGTGTGTATCAGGTGACCACGTGTCAGGCAGCCCATTTTCATTACGCGTTGCTGGAGCTCCAGATCCAAGTAAAGTGCGAGTATATGGACCAGGTATAGAACATGGAGTTCTGGCCACATTTCAGTCTCGCTTCATCTGTGATACTCGAGGTGCTGGAGCAGGACAACTCACTGTTAGGGTCAGAGGGCCTAAAGGTTTGTGATATTTCAACATAAATATGTACCCAGTGGTAGGAAATTTGGTTTACTTCGTTCCCATTCAAGAAGTTAATGATGGTGGTGGTGTAGAGGGTAATTCTCAACATCTCAAATGGAATTCAGATTCAAATAGTCCAATCCACAGTAACTTTACTGGCTGAGCTGTTAATGGCTTTTATTAGGAAGTCCTAAGATTAAATTTAGTTAAATTCAGTAAATGTAACATGAACATTTTGGAGGTCAGGTTGGTTTTAAATCATCTGATACCAACAATAGTTGCATCAGTATGTTTTAGTAATATCTGCAATATTAAGTGTGATTAAATTAATTTGGCAAGGATGTTGACTTTCTATGTGTATAGACGAACATTGATAGAAGATTTGTAAACTAAAACATAACTTAAAACAGAAATATTAGCTTGTAAGAGATAAAAATATTTAGATTCTAATGTAGGCTGAGCACTGCCATTTATGTTCATACGAAATTACTAATACTTTGGTAACAGGACCCAAAAGTTCAGCACCACCAATACCAAAGCCTACCATTAGACATGATCCTGAGTTATTTCCATCTATCTTGCATCTTCCTATACATCAGGCATTTCCCAAGATGTTTTCAAATTAAAATTCATTATGCATTCCTTGCCTCCACTCTAGCCACATGCATAATTTCCTATATTTTACTGTTCTAACAATATGAGATGACCTGTACAAATTTCGAACTTGTTTTGGCAACATTACTTCTGTTTGATGTAGTAATTTCGTCCATGGAATGAGAGTTAAAATTTTTATTTCATCGTTTTCCAGATTCATATATAAGTAATGAAGAAAATATGAGACATGCCATGATTACCGAACTGTAAAAAAAAGATGTTTTCCTAATTTTAAAGTTAAAAAATAAACCATTTAGAATTCGAGTGTGATATATAAAAATGTGTTTAAAACACATTATCTTTAGCAGGATCTAAGCATTAAGGGTTGTTTTACACTGTCGACCAGTCGCTGAATGACCAAAACCATCGGCGACTAAACGAGGAGACCAGCAGGGCGACCAGCGCAGACAGAGGCCTCAGCACTTTGGAAGCAGTCAAGCAGTATGGACGTCGAGGAGACCACTATAATGATAAAAATTCGTTCCATTAATAGAAACAGGAAAAAGAGTAGTAGAAAACATTGAGTGTACCCTTTGTTGCAAGGTCCCAAATGGCTCTTCGTGACTCTACGGCCGAAATAAATCTTTCAGTATTAAACTCATGATATACTGATCACTTGAGTAACATGAACAAGACGGAAGAAAACAAGAAACAATGGATATGTTACCTCTCTTGAGCTCTGGTCGCTGGCTGAGTCGCCCGCAATGTGAACACGTGATTGCCATCTATGTATCTCGTGGTCGTTGGTCTCCCGTGCGTCGCTCACTTCTTGTTGGTTGACGGCGGCCATTGGTCGCGGTCACCGTCGTGTGTAAACTCGTACTTAGCTTTTCTACCTAGTGGTCGTTCAGCGACTGGTTGCCGGCGACCGGTCGACAGTGTAAAACGGCTCTAACAGGTTAAAGGTCAGTAGCCACAACCTGTCATGAGTATGCTCGAAGTAATACCAAATTTATGAAACCAAAAGTTGTAACTTCTCACGAGTTTGTAGTAACTGTATGAAATACATTTCTCTGTAGACTTGTTTCTTAGTGAGATTTAAATACAGTATTTATTCACATTGTCATAGGTGCATTTCGAGTGGAGATGCAACGTGAAAGTCAGAAGGATCGCACCATTCTTTGCAAGTTTGATCCAACTGAACCAGGTGATTACCGAGTGGAGGTGAAGTGGGCTGGAGAACTGGTTCCAGGTTCTCCATTCATTGTCATGATATTTGACACTCAAGAAGAATTGAACAGATTTTTACAGGTGAGTAAATAAATAGTCTTTCTGCTTTATCAGGCATGAAGTCCTCACAGTGGTAAGGATGTCAGTGTTTACCTTCTGAGCTGTAATGCCCTGTGAAGGTGGTTGGAGTCCTGTAGAAGGAGGCAGTGTGTTTCTTCAAAGTGTTGATATTTACTTGCAAGTCCACACTGCATTACAACCCAGAAGATCACATCAACAGTCTCATGACTTGTATTTGCAAATGGCAAGGTCAGTTTATGCATTGAAATAAAGTGAACAACATTCTTTATCCTTCTAAAAATGATGTTATAATAGATGTTTCTACAATCCATGACTGTAATCTTGAGACTTGCGAGGATTGTAGGAAGTCTGTAGCATTAAAGGCAGGCGCTACCTTTCCTCCTCCCTCCTTCACCCACTTCCTCACCCCGCAAGTCTCCAGATTACAGTTGTGGACTGTAGTTTAAGGGGTGGGGTGTTAGGAGAAAAAAATGATTAACATTCTTTGTAGTCTACATTTCAGTCTTAATTTTGTATTTCTGTTTCTCAGCCATTGAATAATGTTGAGGGGGAGGTGGGGTGTATATTGGCAAGATGTACACACATGGACTGGGCAGAATCATGTTTCCAACATGCATTGAAAGATGCTCCTTAAATTTAGTAATTTTTATGTTCACGATATTGGAATTATTATGGGATATTTGTTTCTTGTCAGTTATGCGAGGAAGTCCATAAGATGACTGAAATGAAGCAGTATTGGACAGTTAATCTGTCCTTTTTACACATATCATCAAAATGAAACAAAGTTTTATTGATTTTGAGTAATCTAAAGGCATGTGAAAGTGTTAAATATATGTTCAAGAGCAGCATTACAAATAATTTTTGTCTCACAGGGTAGCCATTCCCCAGGATCTGAGCTGTATGGCAGTGTAGGATATTCCACAGGATATGCTCATATGAACTTTGGTGGTGCTCAACAATCATGGAGAGGTTCACAACCTCAGTTGTAAACAGTGACTTCACTTACCTTACATAAAATTGTGTACTCCCATTCAGCAGAGAACGTGTAATACATCATTTTTTTAAATTACAGTATTTTACAAGCAGTATCTTCTAGTATTGTTTTAATTTTATGCAGGACGATGTATGTAGCCTTGATCTCTTCTAACTTACCACAGTCTTTCCTTTTTATTCTTACTAGCTCTTTCCTCTCTTGTTCATATTTTCTACTATCAGGCTGAACCATCTTCTGCATCATCCCCAGAACAACTTTCCTTTAAATACTAATACTGTTTTTAATATACTGTTCTATCAATTCTTTTTGAATGGCCAGATT